CTTGTATATCTGGAAGTTCTTGGGTCACATACTGCTGAAGCCTAGATTGAAGGATTTTGAGCATAATCTTGCTAGCATGTAAAATGACTGCAGTTGTATAGTAATTTGAACATTCTCTGGCATTGCCTTTCTTTGGGATTGGAATGAAAATGGACCTTTTCCAGTCCTGTGGCCACTGCTGGGTTTTCCAAATTTGCTGGCATAATGAGTACACCACTTTAACAAAGTGCTTGTGTTGATATTTACAAATTACTGAATAGAAATTTTCAAAGCCAATAAATTTAATACTTGAAATACAGATTTGCTTTTACAAAGGACAAGTATATCTTAAAGAATAATTTCAGATATTAAACTCAGAAACTTCCTCTTCTAGGAGGTGGAGTTTAATCCTTCCCTTCTAACTTGCATCCAAAGAACAGAATATAGAAAGGAGAAAAAGCTTTTCTATATGGTGGGAAAACATAGCAAGTCTGATATTACTGGTTCTTGAGCATTTCTAAGGATTTTTAATAGTATAAATCAATGGTTTATTCCTGAATTTCTTGCTGCTGTTTTAGGATGTAGAATTTGGTTTGGTTTTTTAATATTTTTCCCTGACTTTCAGTGGGTTTTCAGAAAGAAAAGTAGCGGGCTATGCTTAGTTTATTATCTTAAGTTGGAAATTCACTTCAATATCTTTCTAGGTTGGTATATATGTAGCTACCTAATTACTTTAACTGAATACACAGTGAAATATTTAACCACTTCCCTATCGATAAGACACTTGGAGTTGTTTCTTTCTTCTAAACAGTGTTATATTCTTATATATGTTATCTTTATTTACCTGTGTGTGCTGAATCAAGAATATATACACTTTACAAATATTATTTACAGGTAAGTAATTTAACCTCTGTCTCACTTTCCAATCAGAGAACTGCTGTGAGGATTAAATGAGTTAATATGTGTAAGTGCCTAAAACATAGGTTAACAGCCACATAGCTGTTAGTTATCATTGCCAAATTACCCTCTGTAAAGGCTGACTGCATATACTATTTTTTAGAGTACTGTTTTTCCCATCTTTGCTCAGACGCTGGAGATTACAGTCTTTTCTCTTTTTTTTGAAAAGGGGGCAATTTCACTGGTGAAAGTGGTATCTAATTGTACAGTCTCTCACTTCACTATGACTGAGTTTGATCCTCTTTTTGATGTTTATTGGCCATTTGTAATTTTTACATGAATTGTGTATTTCTACCTTTTATCTATGAAATTTTAAAATTATGAAATATTTAAAACTTTATGGATAAACACCTATTTGGGTGCATTAAATAAGAAGGATACTATTTTCCTGTTAATTTGATTACAAATATTTATTCCTAGTATGTTTCCTTTTATATTTAGTAGCTTTTAGCAGTGTTCAAAATGTTTGAATTTCTATTAAAATCTGTGTTGTATGGCTTGTTTAAGAATATTTCTAATGTAAAAATGTAAAATAAATTTACTCCATTTTAAATTTAATTTTCTTACAGTTTGAGGTCAGGCTCTAATAACACTTTTTTCATGCTTAATCCTCCCTTACTACTTTGAAATGCTGTTTTTATATCAGGTACTAAATTTCCAAATAAGCATGTGTTTTTAAAAAGTACTCAGGTTGATACATGTGCTAGAGAAATCTCAATATCTAATAGAGATTATAAGCTTGTTTTCTTCTCTGATATGTTGCTTGATTCTGTTGTAAACTGGTAGGACGACTTGCATTCACTCTGTGTGTTATTTTCAAAGCATCACGAAGAAAGCCCCCACGTAAGTCTGCCTAACCCTTGAATTCCTTAGTCTAACCCAGTCCTCGGCCTTATCTCAATGGCTGGATTTCCTTGGAGAACAGAGCAATTCTAGGAGCTTTGGGTAATGTGGATTAGCTTACATGACTCATATCACAATGAAAAAAGAAAACAAAATTCTTTTTTAGAACTCCAATACAGAGTTGTTTTTGTTTTTTGTTTTTTAAAGCCAATTGCAAAGTATATATGGGACTGATGCTGAAGCTGAAGCTTCACTACTTTGGCCACCTGATGCAAAGAGCTGACCCACTGGAAAAAGACCCTGATTCTGGGAAAGATTGAGGGAAAGAGGAGAAGAGGGTGACAGAGTATGAGATGGTTGGATGGCATCACTGACACAATGGACATGAGTTTGAGCAAACTCTGGGAGACAGTGAAGGACAGGGAAGCCTGGTGTGCTGCAGTCCACGGGGTCAGAGTTGGACACGACTGAGTGGCTGAAGAACAACTATTAAGGAAACTTTAATTCATGATTTTAAGCTATTAATATTAAAAATAAATAAATAAATTTCTAGGCCCAGATGGTGTCACTGAAGAATTCTACTAAACATTTAAAGAAGAATTAAAACCACTCTATACAATCTCTTCCAGAAAAATAAAGGAAACACTTCCCAATTCATTTTAGAAAGCTAGTATTATCCTGATATCAAAAGGAAAAACACTCCTACTCACAGATGACCTAACTATCTACAGAGAAAATTCTAAGAAATACACCCCCAAAAAACACTCTGAGAATGAAAGAGTTCAGCCATCTCATAATATACAATTAACATGTTGGTACCAAACTTGGACTATAAAATGCCATTTATAATCACTCTTCCAAGAATGAAATAGTTAGCTATAAATCTAAAAAAACATGTACTGGACATGTATGTTGAAAACTATACAACACTGGTGAATGAAATAAAATCTAAATAAATGGGAAAACATACCATGTTAATGGATTAGCAGACTCAACAGAGTAAAGATGGCAACTCTCCCCAAACTGATACATGGACAACACAATTCCTATTAAATTCCCAGCAAGACTTTTTGTATAGTCAAAATTATTTAAAACTTACACAGAAAAATAAAACAACTAGAATAGCTAAAACAATTTTGAAAAAAAAAAAGTGGATATTATTCTGGTTTCAAGATTTACTAGGCAAAGAAAAGAAACCTCAATCTAAATCTCACACTGTGCAGTAAGGATCAGCATGTCTGGGTTTTCCACACACTGCACATTCCAAGAAAGGTGTGGCCCTTGTCTGGCTCCTAAGATGTAACCTCTGAATCCTTGAAACATCCTGCCTAATAAAGAGTGTCTTTGTTTACCTGGGGTCCTTGGGTAACTCCAAGCATATAGTCTGTGCTAATAATGTGATTTATGGTAGGAGTCTTGAACCATGTAAGGTCAGCTTGACTTCTCAAAGGCTGGAAAGTAAGGTCATGCGTACAGGCATTCAACCATACCAATATAACCTACCCACAGTAAAAGTCCTGAACACCAAGGACTGGATGGCCTTGCTGCTCTATGTGCTCTGACACAACACTGCTGAGAGAACTGATCACCGTCTACACAACTCCACTGGGAGAGGACAACGGAGCGTTTGGACCTAGTGTTTTCTGGACTCTGCCCTTTGCTCCTCTGTTGCTAATTTAAATCAGTATCCTTTTGCTGTAAAAAACTATAACCACTAGCATTAACAGCTTTTCTGAGTTCCAGGAAATAACTGAGCCTAAGAGTGGTCTCAGGAACACCCAAACATATACACATTGTAAACGTATTAACTCAAAACAGACCACAGACTTACAGAATATAAAATGATTAAATTTTTAGGAAAAAAAAAAAGAGAAAAGTAAAATATTCAAGATCTGGGACTAGACAAAGAATTCGTAGCCTTGATCCCAAAAGTACAATCTATACAGGCAAAAACTGATACACTGGATTTACAAGCTTAAGAACTGCTGCTCTGCAAGAGACATGGTTAAAGGATGAAAGACAAGCCAGACCAGAAAAAAATGTTTACAAATCAAATAGCCAACAAAGGATTAGTGTCTGAAATATACAAAGAATGCTCAAAACTCACCAATTAAAACAGAGAAAATTCAACTAGACAAGGCAAAAGATAAGAACATTTCAGCAAACAGAACAGATAGATGGCAAATAAACATCTGTGAAAAAATGTTCAACATTATTAATCTTTAAAAAAAATGAGAATTAAAACCAAAATGAGGTATCACTACATTCCTATCAGAAAACCTAAAATTTAAAACCAAAGAAAAAACAAATAAATAAAAATCACCAAGGGCTAGCAAGGCTAAAGAGAAAGTTTGATTACCCATACTATCTATTTACATTGCTGATGGAAACACAGAAGTCACTCTGGAAAACAGTGTGACAGTTTCTTTAAAAACTAAACATGCAACTCCCATACGACCAGCACCGCACTCTTGGACAATGACCACAGAGAAATGAAGACGTGTGTTCACACCCAAACTTATACATGAATGTTTACAGCAGCTTTATTTCTAAAAGCCCAAAACTGAAAACAACCCAGATGTCTTTCAGTGGTTTAATGGTTAGGCAAAATGTGGTCTATCCAATACCACCACTGCTATAAAAAGAAAGGAACCATTAACGCACACAACAACCTGGATGACTCTTCAGAGAAAAAAAGCCAATTCCAAAGAGTTACATACTGCATGGTACAACTTACAGGGTACGCTTGAAATGACAAATAAAATTACAGAAATGCAGAATAGATTAGTGGTTTCTAAGAGTTAAGAAGAGGGGGAAGGGAAAGTGGGTATGAACAGAATAAGGTATACTGTGGTGATAGAAATGTTCTGTATTTTGACTATATCAATGTTGTGATCCTGAAGTGCAGTTTTGCAAGAAACCAAGGGGTGGGTGAGCAATGAGATAAAGGTTGCATTAGAATCTCTGTACCATATCTTTAAATCACATGTGAATCTACAATTATTTCAAAATAAAAAGTTTAGTTTAAAAATGAAGGAAGGAAAATCTGATCTGATCAGAAGAACAATTTCATTTGATATACAACAACACTGAACATAACTAAATATTCAAACATTATTTTATAATTTTTTAGTTTGGAACAATAAGACATGTCCCTTGTATTTTCTCAATTACAACCATTCTACACAGCTTCATGTCTAACCAGTAAGAATTTAGCTCACCTTCCACGCTGTCAGAACAGGAAGTTCCAATTCCAGTATCACCACTGTCAGAAGCTATACTATGTCTCCTGATATGGCTATTTCGCTGATTAGATGGAACAGTTGTGGCCTGCCACAATGATTCATTACCAGGTAACCATGCTGATGAAGAATAATCTGGGCCTACAAAGGAAAATATGCAAAAAGTTAATAAATTTATAATGTCTATGAGTAGGTAGAAGACATCTTTTGGCCTTGTTAAAAAAAACACAAATTAAGATAAAAAGCCTATTTTCTGCCAAAAATAACTTAAATAGATCAGTAATATCTATGAGTCACCAAATAAACTTACTTATCACACATACACAAATTCAATGCTGACTTAGCAGCTTTCTTTGGCTGAAGATATCTGATTTCTGCTTACAGATACTGAACTTTTAAACACAGAACTACTGTCTGATGTAAAATGTCAACTCAATCATCAATCTGTCTGGAAATGTCAGCACTGTGCTCTGTAATATTTGATAGGTAGGCATCTGTGATCCCATACACAGACATTAGCTGAGAACTGGGACTCAGGAAAAATCTAATCAAAGCATACTACATGACAATACATGTAGAATGAGCTCGTGGAAAGTCAAAGTGAAAGTCACTCAGTCCTGTCCGACTCTTTCTGAGCCCATGGACTATACAGTCCGTGGAATTCTCTAGGCAAGAGTAGTGGAATGGTTAGCTGTTCCCTTCTCCCAGGGATCTTTCCAAACCAGGGATCAATCCCAGGTCTCCCACATTGCAGGCAGAATCTTTACCAGCTGAGCTATCAAGGAAGCCCAAGAATACTGGAGTGGGTAGCCTATCCTTTCTCCACAGGATCTTCCGGACACAGCAATCAAACCAGGGTCTGCTGCATTGCAGGCAGATTCTTTACCAGCTGAGCTACTAGGGAAGCTGGAAAGTCAAAACAATCTATTTTCTACGACTATATCCTAACCACTTAAAATTTAAAACTATTTTGCTTATTTTAATCGATTCTATTTCTTTAGTTATCTTTGACAAAATTTTAACACTAGAGCATTTCCTGGCTCCTAATTTTCCCTTTTGAGTTACAATAAATCTTCACTGTTCAGCTAATTTATCATTTTTCAATGTTCTCTTAAACTTCATTTTCACTTATTTGCCCATTTTTTACTTAACTGACATTTGCCTTTTACCTGATTTATCCATCATTTTACCTTCCTGTTCATTCCTTCTTTTACCGTCTACAATGTCTCAAAATATACCATGGACCAGGGTCAATCTGTGAACTATTTACTACTAGCTTGTTAACAATTAGGAACAGAAATAAAGGATAAGCAGTGAAAAATGTTTACAGTAATTTGAAAACAATTTTAAATCTTGAATTTTACACAAAAGCTATAGCAGTACATATCTTTATTAATGGTCAACATAGTGACTCTAAAATTGAAGACTATAGACTTATTTGTGGGTGTTAACAAGTTCTGTACAAGAATTTTGAGACTTCATTTCAATTATACCCTTGAAAAGTAATAAGCACATTACAGATGACCTGAATAGCTACCTTAAAGCAGACTTATTATCACATAATTATAATGCTCCCATTGGGTTTTATGTTTGCAATTGCGGTTGCTTCCAAGTAAAGGAGAAATGAGAAGGCACTTATCATCATGATGTGAAATAAGACACCTTTACAGAATCATCATGTTACATGCTACTGAAATTGGCAGGCAAGGAGAACTTTCTAGCAGTTTAATAAACACAAGAATCACAAAATGACAAAATATCCACACAATTAATCACCATTATTTTACCACATTTAAAATAGACATTCTCAATATTAATATCAAAACATATAAAGAGGTTAATAATAAAACCAGACCTGAATCTATTTTCTACCATATTAACCACAACATTAAAGCTTTAATTTTAATAAAATACTGTCTCAAATTATTTTATTTTCTCTTTATATGCAATTTATAAATTAAGTTTGAATTAACTCGAGTTTAAAAATGGTAGCCAAAGAAACATTTCCACCAGCTTTGAGATCCAGAACAAGTGAAAACTTGGTAGATTCTACATCAATCTCAAAACTGGGTTTACCCTAATTCATCTGATTAGGCACTCACATATTAAAGCACCAAGTGAAGGCATTCTGTCACCAGAGGTAGTCTACTGTCATCTGTCTATTATCTGCACCAAACATCCTTCCTTTAAACAGTTCCTCAGGTATCAATAATATTCCATTTAAATGAACTCCAAGTCCTATCTAAACCATTATCAAAAAGGAAAAACAGCCCACTATTTTCTCTCAGAAGTGCAAACCTATTAGTTGGAGAAATATTTTTCTAGGAATACTCAGGAAAGAACATGGGCTTCCCAGGTGGCGCTAGTGGTAAAGAACCCTCCTGCCAATGCAGGAAACGTAAGAGACGCAGGTTCGATCCCTGGGTAGGGAAGATCCCCTGCAGTAGAACATGGCAACCTATTCCAGTATTCTTGCCTGGAGAATTCCATCCATGGACAGAGGAGCCTGGAGGGCTACAGTCTAAAGGGTCGCAAAGAGTCAGACATGACTGAAGTGACTTAGCACGCAGATGAAAGCATAAATAGGCTGGAAGTACATGGAAATGGCAAATAAAGATATGAAAAGATGTCCAACCTTACTAATAATGAAATGAAAAAGACAACAATGCTCTTATTTTTAGGCTTTTAAATCATCTATAACATTAAATACCATTGGCAAATATTTGAAATATCAATGTCAAAGTGCAGGGCAAGTCCACATACTTTTATGGGTACATAAATTGATAGAGCGTTTCAAAATTAGGGCATCTGAAAACAGGTACTCAATTTCAACATGTACCTAAGTTTCAACATAAGACCTCCTGGTAGGAATTTTTATAAAGAAATAACAGAAAAGTATAAAAATATATAAGCACAAGGACAGTACTTCTTTAAATAAAAAAATAAATGCCTAGAAACAAAATACAATCTGTAAGTTAGTTGATACTATTTAAGTGCTAAAAATAATTTTAATGACCTATTTTTTTAACATGTAGTGACATCCAAAATGTTAAGTATGTATGGGAGAAAAGCACTTATATAGCTGCTTTTATAGTATGCTTCCATGGCTGCAGAAGAATTGTACATTTACAGGTACAGAAAAAGGAGCTTTCAGGGAGCTCCACATCTAAATGTTGATACTAACTACAATGTTTTACTAAAGAAACAAATACAGAAACATTCACTCTGTCACTAAGGATGATAATGATGATGATTATACACTATCATCTTAAGAAAAAAATGCTGATTACTTTTACTCATTTGCAGATTACATCAGCATTTGATTCTGAAAGGAACCAGCTACAGAGCAAGGTAAGTAAATTAAAGATCCCTAGTCAACAATTTTATAAAAGCTTCATTAAGACCCCTGAAATAAAGTAAATACAGTTCTTTTTAGACAATGTAACTATTTTGAGTAGTATAAAGTAGTGTTACATATTTAGCCCACAACAACTCCACTCCATTTGTTGTTAACAAATCTTGACCCAAGGAAACCAATTGTATACAGAAAGGATATAATCTCCCCCATCCCATATACACACACAGACACACCAGTAATGGGGATAAAAGAGAGAAAAAACCCACCAGTAATGATACAGTATTATTATCAGAAGCTAGGAAGATGTTCCTAGCTTAAATCATTAACTATTACCAGGAAGAATGGCTCAAAAAAACTTTTTCTGTAAAAGGTCAGTGAGTAAATATTTCCACCTTTGCAAGCCATCTGATCTCTATCAAAACTAACTGTCACCACTGTTATAAAGAAAGTAGTAGACAACAGGCCAGGTGTGGCTGTGTTACAATAAAACTTTACAAAAATGATGACAAGCTAGATTTGACCGACAGGTCATAATTTGCAGATCCCTGATCTAGAGTAAAAAAAAAATTATTCTAATTTGTAAATATTCTCTAAAATTCAGCTGATTCAAAATGAGTAACTCTAGCCAGCACATTAATTCATTCCTTTCTTCCAAAGAAATTCTAGTTCATCCTAGAGCACATACCTGCAAGTACTGCTGCTCTAAATCTGAAAATTCATGGCAGCATTATCGAAATTTTCTGTGGACTACCAATACCAGTAACTTTTTGGATAGCTTTTTCCAGAATAAACAGTCTCAGTTTGTAATAACGAAGAACCTTTTATATTCTGTTACAAGTTAATCACTAAAGGGAGGTTGCCTATAAGCTACACACACATTTAATGACCCATCTCTGGGAAACCTCCCAGATAATGAGCATGAAGGGAAAAATAAAACCTCTGTTCAGCCCACAGGAAACATTCAGGCCAGGCCCACCTAACACATCCCCTCCAGAGGTTGATGCTGTTGCTGTTTAGTTGCTCAGTTGTGTCTGACTCTTTGCGACCCCATGGACTGAAGCCCACCAGGCTCCTGTGTCCATGAGATTTTCCTGGCAAGAGTACTGGAGTGGGTTGCCATTTCCTTCTCCAGGGGACCTTCCCAACCCAGGGATAGAACCCATATCTCTTGAGTGGGTTCTTTACTGCTCAGCCACTAGGGAAAGCCCCAGAAGCTGATGAGAACCAGGAAATGTCTGACTTGACTCCCTCCCCACTGGCCATAAAAGAAGCCTGAATTACAACTCAGGCAAGAGGATTCTTTGGGGGCAGGAGCCTACCATCATCTGTTTGCTGGCTTTCCAAATAAAGTCACTACTCCTTGCCTCAACAACTCATCTCTTAATTTATTGGCTAGTTATATGAGCTTGGACTCAGTGACAAGTTTATTTGTATATTTTTTCTTGGGGGGGCGGGGTGGGGAGGCATGCTGCTTGTCTTGTGAGATCTTAGTTCCCTGACCAGGGATTGAACCCAGGCCCTTGGCAATGAAAGCCTGGAGTTCTAACCACTGGACTGCTAGGGAATTCCCCTGTATGGTTGAAGACTCTCAAACAACATCAAACATATATTAATATGCTTGATGATTAACTGTATATGTCAACATAACTGGACAATGAGATGTCCTCATATTGGGATGTTTCTATGAGACTATTTTTGATCTATTTAAATTGTAGACTGAGCAAAGCAGATTGCCCTGCATTATGTGGAAAGACCTCATCAAACTGGCTAAAGGTCTTAATAG